TAGATTATGATGTTTCTTTGTCCATATGTCCAAGCTTCTTCTTTTTTTTTTTTTAAATATTTTATTTATTTATTTTTCCAGAGAGGGGAAGGGAAGGAGAAAGAGTGGGAGAGAAACATCAATGTATGGTTGCCTCTCATGCATCCCCTGCTGGGAACTGGCCTGCAACCCAGGCATGTGCCCTGACTGGGAATCGAACCTCGATACTCTGGTTCGCAGGCCCGCGCTCAATCCACTGAGCTATGCCAGCCAGGGCCAAGCTTCTTCTTTTTTAAAATTTCTGTAAATATGTTATAAATACTTATTTTTAAAACTGTGGTAAAATACACATAACATAAACAGTTTCTTATAACATAAAATTTGTCTTAACCGTTTCTAAGTGTGCAGTTCAGTAGTGTTGGGGACCTCGTAGTGCTGGGCAGCCAGTCCCCAGAACTCCTTCCATCCTGCCCTACTGTTGAATACTTATTTTTAAACAATGAAACACAAAAATACTTGAAAAAATATTAAGTGAATATTTATGCAGTCATGAGGTGTAGAGTAACTTTTTAAGCATTGTACCAAAGTCTGAAGCCATAAAGATTTGGGTATAAAGAAATGTAAAACTTCTGCAAAAGACCACAAATATCAAGGCAAATGAAAACCTGGTGAAAATTCTTTAAAAATATATGACAAAAGGTTAATAGCTTTAACACATAAAGTAAATTCAAATTAATAGGAAAAAAGTCTCAATATGAAAATGAAAAGAGCCTTCCAGCCAAGATGGAGGCATAGATGGAAACACTGTACCTCCTCGCACAACCAAGTTTATGAACAACAAAGATTTAGAAACCACAACGCAACCAGAACAGAGAGAAAAATTGAACTGTACCAAAATCTGACAACAATGAACCATTAATCCAGACGGGTAAGAGGGGTGGAGTCAGCGGCTAGTGGAGAGGGGTCTCGCAGGAAAAAGTGGCCAGGCCGACCCAGGAGCACAGGCAGCAGTTGGCAGATCCCAGGTATGGGGTGGCAACAGGCAGACCCAGTGAGGGCACAGGGTGGCTGGCTGACTGCGGTCCCATATTTGCACACAGATAAGCCAAGCAAAGGAGCCAGCAGTGAGACAGACCCCACAACTTAGGGCCCCAGCATCAGGAAATAAAGCCTAAAAGCACCAATTGGAAAAGTTTTCTGGGGTTGAGGTACCTGTAGAGGCTCCCAGGCTCACAGAGAGTTTGTTGGAGAGACCCACAGGGTCTTGGAGGGTGCACAAGCCCACCCATCTGAGAACCAGCACCAGAAGGGCCCAATTTGCTTGTGGGAAGAGGCAGAGGGGACCAAAATCCAAGAGAGAGTAGAACAAATGCCATTGCCCCTCTCTGACCCTGCCCCCACTTATAGCATCGCAACCCAGCAACCTGGGTTGCTCTGCCCTGGTGAACACCTAAGACTCTGCACCTCATATGTAACAGGCGCAAACAGACCAAAACATTATGGCTCAAGAAGAAGAACAGCTCAAAGCCCCAGAGCCAATACTTCTAAGCGACAAAGAGATAGCTAACCTTTCAGATGCACAGTTCAAAACACTGGCGATCAGGATACTCACAAAACTGCTTAATTTTAGTCACGAATTAGAAGAAAAAATGAAGGCTACACTAAGTGAAATGAAGAAAAATTCAGAGGGAACCAATAGTGATGGAAAGAAAACTGGGACTTCCGCCAAGATGGAGGCGTAGGTGGAAGCACTGTATCTTCTCGCACAACTAAGTTTAAAAACAATAAAGTATTAGCAACAAAAACACAGCCAAACCACAGACTACTGGAACTACACGGAAGTCTGACAACAACAAACCCTTCAGCCAAACCAGTAAGAGGGACAGAGCCTGTAGCAGAGCAGGGTCGGGCAGGAAAGATCCACCCAACTGACCAGGGCCCACGACCCAGGTGCGCCAGCAGCCGTGGGCAGATCCCAGGTGTGGAGAAGTGGGCGGACCCACTGAGGGCTGAATGCGGTCACACAATTCTCGCGCAGATAAACTAGTGAAGGAGCTAGCAGTGAGACGGACCTCACAGGCCCCAGTGGCAGGAAGCAGCAGAGGGAACTGCCATTGTCCCTCTCTGACTCTGCCCCCACATACAACATCACAAACCAGTGACCTGGGTGGCCCCCGCCCTGGTGAACAACTAAGGCTCTGCTCCTCATACATAACAGGCATGAACAGATCAAAACATGGCTCAAGAACAACTCAGAGCCCTTGAGCCGATAAATCTAAGCAACGAAGAAATAGCCAAACTTTCAGATGCACAGTTCAAAACACTGGTGATCAGGATGCTCACAGAACTGGTTGATTTTAGTCACAAATTAGAGGAACATATGAAGGCTAAACTAATTGAAATGAAGGGAAATACACAGGAAAGCAATAGTGATGGAAAGGAAACTGGGACTCAAATCAAGGGAGTGGACCAGAAGGAGGGAAAAAATGACCAAACAGAAAAGGATGAAGAAACAAGAATTCAAAAAAATGAGGAGAGGCTTAGGAACCTTCAGGACATCTTTAAATGTTCCAACATCCAAATTATAGGGGTACCAGAAGGGGAAGAGGAACAGCCACCAGTGGAAAACTTATTTGAACAAATAATAAAGGAGAACTTCCCCAATCTGGCAAAGGAAATAGACTTCCAGGAAATCCAGGAAGCTCAGAGAGGCCCAAAGAAGTTGGACCCAAGAAGGAACACACCAAGGCACATCATCATTACATTAGCCAAGATTCAAATGAAGGAGAGAATCTTAGAAGCAGCAAGAGATAAGGGGACAGTCACATACAAAGGAGTTCCCATCAGACTGTCAGCTGATTTCTCAAAAGAGACCTTGCAGGCAAGAAGGGGCTGGGAAGAGGTATTCCAAGTCATGAAAGGCAAGGACCTACATCCAAGATTGATCTATCCAGCAAAGCTGTCATTTAGAATGGAAGGGCAGATAAAGTGCTTCTCAGATAAGACCAAATTCAAGGAGTTCATCATCACCAAGCCCTTATTATATGAAATGTTAAAGGGACTTACCTAAGAAAAAGAAGATAAAAAAGATGAACAGGCAAAGGACAGCAAACTCACAGTTATTAACAACCACACCTAAAACAAAAGCAAACTAAGAGAATAGCTAGATCAGGAGCAGAACCATAGAAATGAAGATCACATGGAGGGTTAGCCACAGGGGAGTGGGAGAAGGAGAAGGGGGGAGAAGGTACAGAAAATAAGTAGTATAGGTGGTAGGTAGAAAATAGATAGGGGGGAGGGCAAGAATAGTATGTGAAATATAGAATCTAAGGAACTTGAGACACGCGGTCATAAACTAAAGGGGGGGAATGGTGGGGAGGGGGTGTGCAGGGTGGAGGGGAATGAAGGGGGGAAATAGAACAACTGTAATGGCTTAATTAATAAAATGTATTTTAAAAAAAGAAAAGCAAATAAAAGAGCAATGAGATTAGTACATACTTTGTTACTCAACAACTACATTCCAGGGATTTATTCTAAGTAAATTAATGGGCAAGGGCGCAGATGTCTGTGACATTGCTACTTACAATACTGAAGAATTTAATATATGTCCAATCACAGAGTAAAAAAACATATAACAGGTTTGTCCATAAAGTATCCAGCCATGCACTATGAAAAATAAAGACATTTATTGAAGATACAAGATACAAGAAACATTGTACGTAGGACAATGACACCTCAGTCCCTTTCAAAGTAGGCTCCTTGGGACTGCATACAGTTTTCCCAACCACCATCCGCTGCCCCATTGTATTTTCCTGAATCACCCAGTCATATTTTTCTGAATTTCATCAACAGTCTGAAATCTCTTCCCTTTCAAAGGTGATTTAAGTTTTTGGAAAAAGCAGATTTTGCAGGAAGTCAGATCTGGACTGTAGGGAGGATGAGTCACCTGTGTGATTTGATGTTTTGCCAAAAAACTCTGCACTAGGCCTGATACATCAGCAGACAGGTTGTTCTGATAAAGCTTTCAATCACCAGTTGTCCATAGCTATGGTCTTCTGAATCATATGAATAGTTTCCATGGAGGAATGTTCAAGCTTAAAGCAAAATTTTACAAATTTGCTGCTCTTCTTGCTAAGTCATTTTGAATGTCACAGCCACACAGTACACATGCACACTCAAGGGTGGCTACTGTCCCCACTGACTAGTACAGCAAAGTCATCATTATTCACGCAAGTGCATTCCAATCCACTCTCCTTGGCTGCCAGGTTACATCGATCTCTCGCAGACCGTTCCCATTATGTTAACAATGGTTGAACTCTTTCTCTACAGACCTCATATATACATATACAGGATCTGGCAGAAATAAGGCCTGCTGGAGTGTGGTTGGTAGGGTAACAATATGGGTCTAATAATTTATAGTTTTAATTTGAACATTTCACCTAAAATGTCATACGGTGTGTGTGATATTGAGTGTGATATTGTTATGTTACAGAATTATACGCTTATGATTTTGTAATAAAAGATTTTGTAATGGAAAGGGATGTTATTTGTGCCAAACCAAATATATGTGTGTGAGTGTGTGTATATATACATTATACACATATACATATATGTATATACATATACACATACATTTATACATTTGCTTGGTACATACGAGTTTGGAAGAATATATACCAAAATGCTAGTAATAATTATTTGTGATTGATTGGATTGTTTTAGTCTTTTATTATTGTTATTGTTATCACTTTGTATGTTCTCTTTTTTCCCCCCTCGCTCAAATCGCATTTATTACTTCCACATTATCAAGTTAAATTACCAATGGCAATAAAGAAGTAGCTTGTCTCCAAGCGGCCGGCCTATGAACATGACTACTGACAAAGCAAGTAGGCTCAAAAGCTCCCTGCAGCGGTTCCCACAAGCCACTGTCCATAATATGGTCAGGGTTTGCGGCTGTCTAGAACAGCCAGTCTCTCAGGCACCTCCGAGGCCACCCCAGGCAGTGCGCGGGTCCTGACGGGGGGCGGGGCACGCCAGTCCGGAAAAAACGTACTGCCGCGCTGCGCATGTCTTTTCCTTTTCTACTCCGGGCCCGTACACAGCAGTTGTTGCGGTGAGTTCCTCTAGAGAATGGATTCTATCGGCTTCCATCCTGGCTCTCTCGCAGCCGTGGTTGCTGCGCTTCTCCAGGGTCGGGGTGGAGGTCCCTCTCCTGCTGCCCGCAGGCCCGTTTCTGAGTAGTGAGAGGTGTCAGAGGCGCAGTTCGTGGGGTAGCAGGGCTCTGTGGGCAAAGATTGGTGTCCCGGTGACGGAGGGCCTAGTACGGGAGGATGAAGTTCTTGCTTGGTGAGGTCTGTGGGCGAGGCTAGGGGGCTGCACCCCGTCTACACGCTTTTGCTTGGGGGAAGAAACCTCCCTCACCTCGGTTGCCTCCTCGCTTGGCCCTGGGCCTATAGAAAATGAGGCTGCGAAAACCTTAGTCTTTTGGTGTGGGTTCAGCGGCTTGTCACGAATAAGACCACCCTGGCCCCTCCCTGTGTAGCTGAAAGTACAGCCACACTATCCCGCTTATAGAATCTAAGCCCCCCCCCATCATACCTTTGTGGTTTTAAGGGTGAAAGTTTGGAGCGAATATGTATGCTGTTTTAATGTCCTGGCAACTAACTTCTCACCTGAAGTGTTTTTAGGGCTGGAGGTGGGAGCTGGTAAAGGGTAGGTTTCAGTCTAGGGAGTTGGAATTCCTTCTTCCTGCATATTTTCCGCGCATTTTTGTGTTTGAAACTTCCACTTACTGGACAGTGATTTCGTGCGGTCATTTTGGGGTCATGAACTCGGTTTCTGAACCCTGGCCATATTGCTCAGAAGTGCTCTTGGTGATTGCTTTCTTCCTGCAGATGTTGATGCCCAAGAAGAACCGTATTGCCATTTATGAACTCCTTTTTAAGGAGGGAGTGATGGTGGCAAAGAAGGATGTGCACATGCCTAAACACCCCGAGCTGGCAGACAAGAACGTGCCTAATCTTCACGTCATGAAGGCCATGCAGGTAGCTGGGGGGGCTGCTGGAGTGGGGTGCAGATGGAGGGGTTTTCCACTGCTGTTGAAGGCAAACTCCAAGGAGAGGTCAGGACAGCTAGAACTTCTTGCTGCCTGGAAGGGCTGAGGGGTAGATTTATTGTGAAGACTTGTATTCTATGCAATTTAGTTTCCCTTTGCACTGTGTTTCTAGTTCCAAGCCTCTAGTTACATCTCAACAGTACTTTTCTGTCTTACAGTCTCTCAAATCACGAGGGTACGTGAAGGAACAGTTTGCCTGGAGACATTTCTACTGGTACCTTACCAACGAGGGCATCCAGTATCTCCGCGATTACCTCCACCTGCCCCCTGAGATCGTGCCTGCCACTTTGCGCCGTAGCCGGCCTGAGACTGGCAGGCCAAGGCCCAAAGGTAAGGTGCCCAAGTAAATACCTCCAACAGCCTGTTTTGCAGCTGCTCTTTCTGGGAGGAAGGTTATGTGTAAAATGGTGTGGTTTTTGTTGTGGGACAGAAATGGTCTTACAGTATGCCATTGGTGTCAGCTGTAGAGAGACTCTGGCCTATAGGACCTTGGGTTAAGTCCTAGAGCCTTTGTCCTCTAGCATGGGACTTGTAATGGAACTGGAGTCAGGTGCTCAGGTTATCCGGGGAGACGACATTAAACAGATTATTAGTCTGTGGACAGACACATGTGGTAGGGCACTGAGTAACTTTTTCACGATGTGAAGGGATATGGTTAGGGGAGAAGGGAGATTATCTGATTGCTCACAGTTGCATTTTTGTCCAGCTTGTGATTTCCTTAGGTTCTGAAAAAACTTGTCACAAGAACTTTTGTAGGAAGAGCATTTTGTGGTCTCAGGTGATGAAATGGGATGCAGAGATTCCTATATACAGTTGATTATCAAACTGTCCCAGTTCCCCAGGGGGGGAGATTTCATGGGGCTCAGGAATCTATTTTTATGAATGATCCCTAGGGGATTCTGGTGGTGGTTAAACGGTTATGTAACTGTAGAGCAAAAGTTCTAGAGAACAGCATCTAGAATCACTTGAGGGCAGGGGCTGTCACTGTCTTTGTGCCCCACAGACTCTTGCTTTAGGAGGCGTATGTGGGATCTGGCATTTGTTTATTTTAGCCAGGCTCAATTTTATCTTCTACATTAAAAAAGAATGGTTTGTATTTTAACCATATGGACTCTAGATCTAAAGGTCCAAGGTAACTGGGTAGAGAGAATACTAGATTAAACTTCCACTGTTTCTGAGAATGCTTTTAAGGTACCTCTTAAAATCTGTCTTAATATATCCACAGCCTGAAGGAGGTATGTGGAGAAGCCCCGGGAAGAAATGGATTCTGGTGGCCTCTATGTTTATATACTTAACACTGGAGGTGGGGCTTTCATCTGTGATGCCTCCTTTGCACAAGAAGTTCTCCACTTCAGAGATAGATCCATTTCAAATTTTTGGCTATTGAAATGTTTGTAGAAATAGCTGGATATTTGAATTTGCCAAATAATTGGAAAGTGTGCATTTCTATTGAGAAATAACAGTAGAACGAAGCAATCCTTTTGCAGATGTGTAGCATTTTAATTAAGAATGAGTTTTCCTGGGCCTCTGAGGAGCCAAAAGGTCAATGATAAGTTTCTAGCTGGCAGTTCTGGGTATAGGAGTTCCTATTCCTATTAACTTATAATAACTAAGTTGTCCAATGAAAGTAGGAGAGCAATTCCAGTTTTCTTGGCCTGAAGGGAACAGAGTTCCCATACTGCCCTGTGTTCACATTGTGTTTACTTTGTGTAGGTCTGGAGGGCGAGCGACCTGCAAGACTCACACGAGGGGAAGCTGACAGAGACACTTACAGACGGAGTGCTGTACCCCGTGAGTGACACATTGTCTGTGTGGGGCTTTGGGGTAGAATCTCTGGATTTTCAGTCAGCCCTGGCTGGGGCTCAGCCCTCAAAGATGCCAGTGACATGAAAAGTTCCTGTTCTCATCTCCAGCTGGAGTCCTTTGTGCTTTTTTGCCTTAAGAAGGGATTTGATGAGTGGGGACAGGGAGGATTACCCTGTGAGCAGGGGACAGATGTTAGTTGAAGACCTTTAACCTAGAGCAAAATTGAAAACTTTCAGGAAGACAACATGGTTTTATTTTGTGGTTATGTTCCTGGGTTGTAAGCTCCTTGAGGGTAGGGTCTGCTCAAATTACCTTTGTTGTTTTCTTATTGCAAAAATAGTGTGAAATCTTGTCTTTAAATAGCAAATATTCACATTGACTGGGAACAACGGGTATTTGTTCATTGAGCAAATGTATATTTAATGCCTGTGGTGTGCTAGGCACTGTCCCAGGAGCTGGGGAGATGGGAGTGTACATACCAGACAAAAGGCCCTTCTCGTTGAACTTGCATTTTAGTGATAGGAGACAGATACGAAAAAGTAAGTATGTATTGGGTTGGCCAAAAACCCCATTTCGTTTTTTTCCATAAAATAAAAGACATATCTTTCATTTTCACCAACAATTTTATTGATTTGGATATTTTGAGTAAGTCAGCTATCTCCTGCTATTGGCTTCTAGTAGGTAGAGGCCAGGGGTGCTGCTAAACATCTTCCAGTTCATAAGACATCCCCACTGCAAAAAGTTATTTGGCCAGAATGTCAGTAGTACCAAGAAACTTAGCAAACCACTTTTGACATGTTCGATCAGTCACAGTACCTTCTCCATACACTGTACAAATCTTTTTATTTTTTTTTTAAAGATTTTATTTATTTATCTTTAGAGGGGAAGGGAAGGAGAGAGGGAGAGAACTATCAATGTATGGTTGCTTCTGGTGCACCCCCTCCTAGGAACTGGCCCTTGCTGGGAACTGGCCTACAAACCACGAATGTGCCCTGACTGGGAATTGAACTGTGATTGTCTGGTTCGCAGGCCCGCACTCAATCCATTGAGCTACACCAGCCAGGCCAAATCTTTTTTTTTTTTTTTTTTCCCCTTTCTTTAAATAATAGAGCATAATACACCAAAAATGTTGCATATTTTCTTCCATCTCCATTTTTAAGATGGCTACACCAAAATTCATCGATTTTGATAATTTTTTAATGCACACTGATATGACACCTATCAGAAAATCTGACAAAATTACTTTGAAATCAAAGACAACTAAACACTACGAAAGCTGTTCATGTAAAAAACTAAATGAAGTTTTTGGTCAACCCAATAGTGTATCCAGTGGTATGGGTGCTGCATGGAAAATTTAAAGTAGAGGGTGTAATTTTCAATAGGGATTTCAGGAAAACCTTGCAAAAGTGAGATATAAGCAAGCAGCTAAAGGAGGTAAAGGGGAGCCAGCCAGCGACTATCTTGGGAAAGCACATTTCAGGTAAAGGTCCTCTTAGGGGAAGCACCTGGCTTGAGTAAACAACAGAAGACAGTCGGAAATTGAGTAAGGATGTAGGCCCACAGCTCTGTGGACCACAGAAGGACATGGGGTTTGCTCTGGCGTGGATGAGGGCCATTGCTGTTTGCAGAGGAGTGAGAGGGTTCAGTTTGGTTTTAAAGGGTCACTCTTTATTGCAGAAACAGAAAATTGTGACATAAAAGCAAGGTATGAAAAGGAATTTTTACTGACTTACCACTCTTGCCTCCCTCTTGAGGTGGTTCCTGATTCTATGTGAAATAGAAATGAGCACTTGACCTGAATACTTACAGAGTAGTAGAAATGAATTTCTCCAGCAAACAGGCTCTCCACTTAGAGAAAAGTTAGTGGTTGCTCTTATTAAAAGTCACACCATGTAGAGAATCAGTCAGGGAATGGTTCTAAGGGAATGGTTCTAAGGGAGTTGGGACCAAGCCTCAGGGGTACTCAAGTTTAGGGGCAGTGAGCATTTCAGGCAAGGTCTCAGTATGAACAAAGGTACAGAGGTGGGGAAGATGCTGTCTTACTAGTCAAAAGGGAAGGGAAGTGAACAGCTTGTGGTGAGCATGGTCTGAAATGAGCCAGAGGGGGACCCTTATTTGAATAAAATTCACCAAACTCATATTCACCTACTGCCCCACTCCTGCAGTGTGAACCATGAAATTTCTTAGTGGCCACACTGAAATGCACAAAATTCACACGAATGTTAATTTTGTTATTGTATGCTTCCCTTTATGTGAAATGTCTAGACTAAGTAAATATATAGACAGAAGGGTAGATTAGTGTGCCTGCCAGAAGTTAGGGGGAGAGTGGCTACTAATGTATGACAGGATTTCTTTTGAGGGTAATGAATGTTGATTTTTTTAACCCATATAAACATTATTGGGATATTTTGTATTCTTTCTCTTTTTAAATTTTACATTCTCTTAAGTCTTGCCCTGGCTGATGCAGCTCAGTGGGTTGAGCACCAGCCTGTGAACTGACAGTCACTGGTTCCATTCCCAGTCAGAGCGTATGCCTGGCTTGCAGGCCAGGTCCTCAGTTGGGGACGTATGAGAGGCAAGCTGATATGATTTCTTTTCTCCCTCCTCTCCTCCCCCTCTCTGAAAATAAATAAGATGTTTTTAAAAATAAGTTAAAAAATAAATTTTGCATTCTCTTAAGTCTTAAAATCTGATATTTTATTGTACACACACATCTTTGGACTAGTGGCCGCAGGGCAGGGCAGCACAAGATCTTGTATCTTGCTTCTTTCCTATGGTTATGGTAAAGTTGCTTTTTGCTTCTGTACGCTGTTGTGTCCTTTACCTTTTAGTTCTTCCTTCATTGTGCTCCCTTTGTAAGCTAGGTGCTGATCTAAAGCATGTAAGTGATTCAGTAGTAGAAAATTAGGGTCTTCTGGGGCCATGTGGGAAGGGTACATAATCCAGACTTTGTAGTCAGGATAGCCTTCCTAGAGGAGGCAGTAGTTTGGGTTGTGAGTTTTGAAGGATGACTTAAGGGAGGCTGTGCTAGGAGAGGGAGAGGGCAGAGGTGGCTCAGGTGTAATTTACTAGTACTTCATGGGGTCTGTTTGCCGACATGACCTTCTCCACAAGATTGGGTTGGGTTACTTACCTGCAGGAGATCAGACCTCGTGATGAATTGAAATTGGTGTTTCTTATTCCAGCTGGTGCTGACAAGAAAGCTGAGGCTGGAGCTGGGTCAGCAACTGAATTCCAGTTTGTGAGTATTCATTCCCCTGTTTGCTCTCCATGAGTGGTCACTGCTCTGGCCTCAGCCTTGTGTGGGGGGGTCTGTAAGTTGTAGGGATGTAGTATAGTGTGGTGGATCCCATCCTTCATTCTCCCTATCCCCCCAAACCACAAATTCCAAATATATGTTTTACATTAAGACTGGAGACTTTCTGTCAATATGTAAATTACTGAAATAAGTTTTATAAATCAGTACTATTATATGTGTAGCATCGTGATCTTTTCTGTTTCTTTAATAATGATCATAATTCCTTTAATTAGTTTCATGAACAAAACTTAAGGCTGAGAGTTACTGGAGATTGAGTGTGCTCTAGAACCAAGATGGGCTGGAATCAAATCACTGTCTTCCTTCAGAGGGTGTGATCTGTGCACCCGTTTCTTCAGCCATAAAATAGAGATGATCGTAGCTATCTCAAGAAAATTGTGAGACTAGTTAATCCAGGTCAAGTGTTTGCGTGGGGCTGGGCTGTCACTGCTGGGACAGCAGCTGTCCTGTATTGGGGCTTCACAGCATAGTGAAAAGAGGGTGTGTATGTATGGCAGACACAAGATCTTATCCTGTGCTGGTGCTTACATGTGTGTAAATGTGAGCACACTCTTGAGTGGGTATCCATATTCTCATTTTACAAATGAACAAACAGGACTGAGGTGAATGTGGCCCTATAGCCAGGAAAGTAAGGCTAGGATTTATGACCTGCACTCTGTGAAGCGGCCTCACCAGTGATGAGAAGGCTTTCTGTGCCCTGGCTTACTGCTAACACTTATGTCATGTGCTTTCTCTTGCAGAGAGGCGGATTTGGTCGTGGACGTGGTCAACCACCTCAGTAAAGTTGGAGGGGTTATTTTGTGCTGAATAAACTTGTCAGAAAATAATGTTGTGTGCCCCTGTTTGTTTGCAGTATGGAGCTCGGACGGGAATGATCTAAGGGACAGAGTGTAAATGGGGCAAAACTGGGTTGGTTTTGGGAGTTGTCTTATCCAGGGTGACATCGCTTGTTGCTATAGAGCTGCGGTACTTGGCTTTGCCTTGGGCTCACTTTGTTCCAGCAGACGCCTCCCTACAGAGTCCTGTCCTGTGTGTTACCATTTCTGGGAAGCAGTTGGAAAGCTGAACATCTTACCAGACAACCATGCCAGCTCAGCTCTGTGTGGTGAGAAGTTGCTATTTTGTTGGTCTTGGAACAGATTTTGTGTCTATTTGGGAATATCAAAATATGAGTTAATGGACAAGAGCAGGGTGTTGAGATATCCCTTGGGGCCAAGTTCAGTTTTGGTACAGGTACCAGAGGAAGATTGGATGGGACCCTTTCTGTGCTCCTGTATTGCAAACACCACATACCTGGCAGTGTCAGGAAGGTGGGCATAACCTTTAAGCAAGTTTGCTGGATGAAAAGCGTTCTTTGGCATGACTTGCAGTATAATGAGCTTTCTAAGTGGAGGTCAGAGTTTTTGTGGTATCAGTTCTGGGCCAGCCAGCAAAATGGGTAGCTAATAGAAGTGGATCTTCTTAAGGGGTACTGGAAATTGGGAATTATATTTGTGGGTACTGTGAACCAAGAATTATATGAAGCTGGATGATATTAGACAAGTGGGATATCAAATCTACACAGGTGATTTCGTTGTAGCCACTTCAGACTTAATAGGCAGTTTTGGTTGTGACCACAAGGTGGCAGCCAATGGCAACTCCAACTGTGCACTTAAACTTGGTGCTGGGAGTGTGCTTTGGAATCTGAACCACCAATAAGTGGAGGCTTGCTTTGGCAGAAGGAGGTTGTGTTTGGGGAAGCTGTTTCAGTGCTTCCTTGGCAAAGATTGCTTTTTACCCAGTTTTACTGCTGGCTCAAGTGATGTCAAGTGGTTTGCCTGTGTTCACACGCCTTGTAATTGTTTAACCTGGATTCCACTGCGAAATGTTATTAGCTCCTGGCCTTTCTGTTTCACATCAAGGCCTTTGAGCAAGTGGATGAGTTTTCTTTATAGCTGTGGTGATTTTCTGGCACTAAAACATCCCTTTTTCAATTAGGGCTTTTTGCTAACCCCTTTCCTTGTGATTTCAGTTAATTCCAAATTGTGTTCTTAACACCCAGAGGTGCTGGAAAAACCTGAAGAACATACAGTACAGGGTAGAGGTAGAGCCTGTAGATGAAAACATGCAGGTGGTAGTGGCTCTTGCTGCCTGCCAGCCTCTGCTTGCACCTGGGTAGATTGAATGACCCCCCCCTGCCGATCAATAATTAATTAGCTGTTCAGAGATCAGTGCCAGTAAGTACCCTGGGAAACAAGCATTGAAATTAGCCTTAAAGAACCTCACAGTCTAGGAAAACAAAACCAAAACTGTACCTCGAGTCCATGCCAAATACTGTGTGGGGATCGTAATGTCCAGTCTGAATTCTGTGGAAGGTGGTGGAGGGCAATGAGTAAAGGCTGAAGTGACTGGTGGTGAAGGGCGTTGAGAAGTGAGACCATTCAGGGCGTCTGGAAAACAGAAATGTCAGATGGTGTCTGGTTGTGAAACCCATGCCAGAAATGAAGGGGGGGTTTTCATTTGTTTTTAGTAGAGCTAGGAAAAACAAATATGTGCTATTAAAAGTGCCTGAGAAAATCATTTGGGGTGGATGGGTTATGAGGGGTACAGATTGGCCCATCTGCCAGTGTTGGTCTCCAGGCCTGTAGCTCACCAGTTAATCCCCACCTTCAACACTACCAACAAAAAAGGTATCAAAAAATTTTTAAAGGAATTTTGGAAACTGGGGGCTGAAGATATATTTTTGTAAATTAACAAACTTCCCAATATGGACACAGGTCTCCTTTCCCTGGAAAATACAGCCCCCTCATTGGTGGTGCCAATAACAGCTCTGTGAAAGTCTGTGACTCTTGAAGCCCTACTTTTGTTTTTAATTTTTTAAGTTTATTTTAGAGCAGGAGAGAGAAGCATTGATTTGTTGTTCCACTTATTTAGGCATTCATTGGATGATTCTTGCATGTTCCCTGACTGGAATCGAACCCACAGCCTTGGCATATCAGGATGACTTTCTAACTGAGTTGCCCAGCCAGGGCAGCCCTTCTGTTTTGATTAATTTAGTAGACCTTTAAAACAGCTGCCAGCCTTGGCTGGTGTGGCTCAGTTGGAATGTAGTCCCGTAAACTGAAAGGTCACAGGTTCAATTCCTGGTCACAGCACATGCCTGGGTTGTGCATTCAGTCTCCAGTCAGGGACCGTACGAGAGGCTGTTATTTGATACTTCTGCCTTGCATTGATGTTTCCTATCCCTCCCTCCCTCCCTCTCTAATGTTGATAAGCATGCCCTTGGGTGAGGATTTAAATAAAGAACAGGTACATATTTGCCTGTGTTAGATGCTGGGAAACATTTTTAAGAAGGATACAGTTTTTGGCCCTGAAGACATGAGGACCCACTAGCACACTCCCTATAGGAGTGCCTGGTGTGGGCCTTCAGCAGGGCAGTGTGGACCCACTGGGCTAGGAACTCCCCATTCCTACCTTTGGCTCCAAAAGCCAGGCCTGTTATCCAGATCCGACACTTCCCCGGAGTGTGGGGAATGCTGCCAAGAAGTGGCCCACAGCAATGTGGGAGCTTGGGCTACTACTGTTTTAAAGCTGAACCCTTGGAATGGATTTACCAATTCTTTCACTTCTTAGACCTGGGAGAATGAGATGGGAGAAAGGAGTCTTGTTGATAGCACTAATTAGAACAGTTGTTTCAAAGCCCACAGATGAGGGAGACCCTGGTTTAATCACTTAAGGTTTAATCAGCTATGCTCTGGGACAAGATTTGAGTAAATTTCTAATGAGTTAAAGCACTCTTGGCTCTCAGAGGCAGGATCAGTGATCTAGGTGAGAGATGGTCTTTTTGGTTTCGCTTTCAGAACGCAGACTTGATATGCTGTGAAGGGAAGCTGGTGGCCTATGGGCCGGAATGTGACTGGGCTGGGGTGGGGGCAGAAGTGTAACAGCTCAATCCTCTCTCTTTGCCTTTGCCTCAGGCTGCCTTTAACTTTCCCAGAACCAATGCAGTCCCTAAGGGGTAGCTTCACCTTGCTTTCAGCCACTCCATGATGCAGCCCAGGTTATTTTTCAGAAAGACAAATGTAAACAAGGTATTCCCCAGCTTAATAATGTCCTCCAGGAGCTCTGTATTCCTTCTGGAGTCTTCTAGACTCTAGACAAATGCAAAACTCCTTTCATGGCTAATAGGTCATGGCATCTTCCCATCTGCCCGTCAAAACAAGGCTCCAAATTCAGAATCCAGCTAACCTAGCTCATGCACCTTCTCAGCTTCAGACTTTTATACATGCTGTGTTTTTGTTTGTTTGTTTGTTTGTTTGTTTGTTTGTTTTACAGGGAAGCTCTCACCTACCCACATGAGGGCTCTTACTCATTTATTATTCAGATTAGTATCACCTGGGCAAGAAGCCTTTGCTGACAGAACTACCCTGCTTCAAAGTCCGGTTAGATGCCTCCCTGTTAAGTGCCTGCAACAACTGAGCTTCGGCAGGCTGTATTGGAACTAATAGACACCTGTCCATTTCCCCTCTGACACAGCCTCTGTCTGGGGGCCTACTCGGTGTCTCATGCACTGTTGCTCCTTTATAATTGTTAGCTGCATGAATGATGTTCTGTAAGGAGTTGTTTCTGAGATGCTGTCCCCTCCTGTGGAAAGAACACTTGTGCAAAAAAAAAAATTCTGCAGGCCTAAATTGGGAATGCAAATGTGACTGAGATGCATATTTGCTATGTAGTTTCTGCCAGAACTAGGGAAGGCAGACCTAGAAACATACTAAGTGGTAAGTGGCCTAGTGGCTATAGCCGAAGTTTTATTGGTAACCTGAGGGGAAGAGGTGAGCAAATAACATCCAGGAAAGGCCTCCCCTAGTGGGTCACTGAAACCATCTGAGCGTAATCTTAATACTTTGAACTAAAACAGTATGGAGCAGTAACAGTGGCCTGCTCAAGAGTTTGTATTCTTTTTATTTTATTTTTTCAGCTTCATAGAAGTATAATTGACAAAATAAAATGCTCATATTTGTAGAGTGTACAATCTGATCAATTTTGACGTATACATTCATGAAATTTGGATAATGAACATACCCATCACTCCGAAAGTTTCTTTTTTTAGTTTGTAATCCCTCACCCACACCCACCCCCATCAACAGGCAAAAACCTGTGGTATGCTTTCCGTCAATATGGATTAGTTTGTATTTTCTATAATTTTATAAAAATTGACTTACACAATATGCACTGTATAGTCTGGCTTCTTTCACTTGTATCAATATTGTGGCATATATCAGTAGTTCCTTTTTATTGCTGAGTAGTATTTCATTGTATGGATATTCTACAGGTTTTATCCATGTGTTGGTGGGCCTCTGGGTTGTTTCCTGTTTTTGATTGTTGTGACCAATGCTACTATAAACATTCCTGTACATTCCTGTACAAGTGTTAGTGTGGGCATGTATTTTCATTTCTCCTGGTTATATATACCTATGAATGGAGTTGCTGGGTCGTAGGTAACTGTGGTTAATATTTTGAGGAACTGCCAAACTTTTCTAAAGTGGCTGTACCATTTTGCATTCCTACCAGCAGTGTATGAGTCTCGTTTTCACCCATGGTTTCTTTGGTCTTTGTGTTAGCCACTCTAACAAGTATGAGGAGTTTGGATTTTATCCTTGGATGATATTGAGCCAATTAACAAAATAAAGGTGAGGACTGGCATGGCCAAGAGTGCTGGCTGCTTGGCAAGTACTTGAACCCCTAGTTCAGGAAATAGTAACCTGAATTCAAGTCTGCACAGTGACCATACTGGGTACTGAGTGGCCATGGGTAAACCACTCAATAAGTGACCACAGTACACATTCAG